TTAACCAAAAAGTAGAGGTTATGACAAACAAGTCATAAGAAGTGGCGTGGGCTGTGCTAGAAACAACCATTTCTAAGGGTTAATGTAACCCATAAAGAAAAGTTATTTCAACGGGAATAAAAAATGGCTAACCTGAACTATATTTTTTTGGTTACTGTAACCTAATAAAATACGGTTACCTGTGATTCAAACCTTAACCATTTTTTTGAGGTCACTATAACTGGTCAGTTTTTACAGTGCAGTTAACGTTAAGTTTCCTTTAAAATTTCCACAAGTTGTCAGTGATTTCAAGGAGTAGGAGAGAACCCTGGGTACAAGGTTTTTATGTACGATTGCACAAAATCATGGCTGATTAAACTGTCATGAGATTCGCTCCATTGACCGTAATACTCAGTTATTATAAGCTAAACTAATAACAATTCTACATTTATCCCCGGTCTACATGTATTCAGGTGTTTCTGAATAAAGACGGAGGTTTTTTCCCTGTCTGAACGTTCCGTCAACACATGAACGGCGTTTTCCGGGCACCAAAAAACGCAGGTTTTACAAAGTGGTCTGCAGAGTTGAGATTTTTGAAAACGCCGGCTTCTCGTTTACTTGTGGACGAACGAAAATGGAGTTTTTCGAACACGATGTTTTCATACATTATACAGCGGCGCACACCCTGTGCGTATTGAATGGTCGCTATCTTATTTGCATCATTTTAGAGTTTCTGTGTGGATGGACAAACACGATTTGAATTTGCTAGGTGTGGAGGCGTGCCTTTAAAAAAAAAAACGTTGAGAAAACGCTCAGATAAACCAGTTTTGATCGTCGTTATCCAGCTCCACAGGCTTCGTGTCAAAATTTGCCAACATAGTAGCACAGAGTACACATAACCTTCACATGAAAAAAAACCTCTCACGTTTGACGATGGAAATGCCAAAAGGCGATCGTGCCGGTTAATGCCTGAAACCTACTGTCTTTAATCATTGATATTGCCAATCCCTAGCAACACTCGCTCAAAATCTGGTGAAATTTACCCCGATGTGCAGGAGATTTGTTGCTTTCCCTTACCAACTTATAATTAAACAAATGAATGACTTTAAAAATAGATATACATGTTATTTTGAAAACCGGGCTACTAAAACATATCAGTCTCTCGCACTGATTGGTATTTTTTTGCCCCTTCTTACTGGAAAAGTAAAATCTCAACTCAAAGGAAATTCTTGAATACATGAGCTTCCATGTGATAAAAACGTCTGTCGTGAAGCTAGGTAACAAAAGTGAAGCTTTCCTCGTTAGTCTGGAAAATAAGACTGACAATCCGCGCAAGTCATCAAGGAATGGGACGAGGTAACGAGCGAAGTTCTGGTGATCATATGCAAGTGTCCATCGTATGACTTCCTCCACGCAAGAACGTTACAACTCCCAGCTACCTGTTCGCGTAGTGTAGTTAAGGTTCAACATCAGTTCACAGAGTTCCAGATAAGACAGCCAGAATCTCGCTAGGTCTGTGCCCCTTTCCTTGACGTCCAGTACCTACTCATTAAATTGGCCCTCTCACTTGGGAAATTCATTGCTATGCAGATCTCTGTCAAATTCGTTTGGTCCGATATCTAACTTGATGTTTCTCTTTGTTGAGCATACAGGCGTTTGACTCATCTGTGAGAGACGATTCTAGCTCCTGTATAAGAAATCTCATCAACGCTTCATACACAATTTTATGACGGCGCACAGCCCTGTTATAATGCTTGCCGCTGATCACCTTCTCCATTGAGCCTTCAGCCACTACATCACTCTGAACAGCCAGTTCTCTCATGCCAGCTTCACCAAATCTGCTACCAATGAATCCCAACAGCATCATCAGTAAATAGAAACCACCCATCATGATGACTAATCCACCAAACAGTGTCTTGTGCTTCCAGTAAACCTTCATAGCTTTGGCATAAAATGCTTGGTCAAAGACACAAGCAACTGTTTTAACTGCGATCTCCCTCTGATCTCACATCCTCTTGACAGTACTTGGTACGCTGTCTTTAAATCTGTAGCAGGCGAATCCAGAGTGTCTACGTAGCCGATTGTGTTCTCTACAACTGCAACGTTTCCTCACACCTTAATGTCAAGTCCTATCTAACCTGGGACCCACCATAATGAGTTTTTAGCTTCCTTACATACAGTAAAACAAGATAATATATTCTCAGTAACTTAGCTTTGCCGTCATAAGAAGAGCGTATGCCAACACACCTTCCTCCATAGCACTCGGGAATCTCTCTTGTTACATTTTAAGCAAAGCTCAGTCTCTATCCATTCTAAAAGGTCATAACTTAAGCCATGTCCTTACTTATCGATAATCTTGACAGCCTCGGTGTTATTGGAGAGCGCTTTCACAACAGAAGGGAACAAAACACTTTTAGCCGTTTTAACATCTCCGTTCGTAACGGAAAAAACAATGTCCTGCGTGAAAGAAGCCTTGATTTTTTTTTCTGTTTTACTCATGGTGCCGGTTTACGACGAGTGGCCTGATATAAGTACGGTAAAAAATATGTCCAACAAATGTGGGATTTATGAACTTATCTCGTCTGCCTTTAGATCTTTTGTGGGTGGCCATGACATCTGAGGTTGCTGATCCTTTATTGTACCTCTAAACAGCTTTGCTACTTGAAAAACACTGTCTTCGTTATCCGATTTTGAACTTGTCAATTTCAATACAAAATTCAGTTCAAAGTTCTCGATAATGACATTCTGCATTTCCAACGAGATGGTGTATACCAGAACTTTGTTGCGTTGGTAAGAAACAAATTGTAGCTCTTCGAACATATTATTTTGACATTTTTCGCATGAGGTTTTTGCTATGCGAGTCTGGAACACTGATGCCCAATTTGTCTACCACGTCAAAAATTAGTTTCTTGATTTCTTTGAACTCAATTACCGTTGATTTGCAATCAAATCTATAAACTGCATCATACGCAGGTTGCATGTCATGTCGTAATCATTCGAACTTTCATCCTCTCTAGTTTTACCAGTAGTGTACTGAATACGTACAAACGCCTTATAGCAAGAAGCGTGGTACTTTGTTTCACTACATCAGATTAAATCTTTGGCACATAGTACGATCACCTTCTGAGCTACAGCACTCATAGCCGTGCATTGTTAGCTATTGTTGTATGTGTAAGCAGGCACATTTTCTTACCGTCTCATAAGCACGGAATTCTTGTACGCTATGAAGCGTCTCCCGTGTTTTTGAGTTGGGCTTATACTTAGTCTTGTTACAGAAAATGCAGCAGTCTGGTAGCTAGCACTGCTGAACTCGCTTGGGTAACGTCTCTTGAGCTTCTCCTTGGCACCGGATCACTGGCAGCAGTCTCAGTATTCTTGATCTGGAGATCTCGTCTGTGAGTGAACTCAGATCTGCAAGCTCGATGATACTTTACAGGCCTTCTAGGGAAGTCGCTTTCGCCTACAGATAGCTCGAGTATAGCTCTGTGGTCTAGAATCACTGCTACACGATACAAGTTTTCCAATGAATTCATTTCGCTAAATAAGAACCACTTCCATTATAAATGATGCATACCTCATCCATTTGTGAACTAGAGGGCAATGAACGCGAACTAATACGAACGATAAATCGATCGTCAGGGCCGCCATTTTGGAAAGTGTTAACTAAGAGGACTGTATCCTAGCGTAGGAAAGAGGCTGTTTGAGAAATAGTTAACTGAGCAAAACATTTCACTCGTTCAATTATCGATCGTTAGAGAAGGGTTAATTGTCGTCATTATTCATTCAAAATATTTCCCCAACTCTGATTGGCTAAAAGCACACGCATAATTCACCATAACCAGCTACTAATGACCAAATTTGGAAGAATTTTGCGTTTAATGAACCGATGACGTCGAAAGTGCAGCCTTCGTGCAGGTTAATGCACCATTAACCGAGAAGACCTGGGGACGAGGTTGAGTTGTTTTGGTTCTGAAAACAAAAAATGGCGGACATTCACTCGTTTCCAGTGTAAGAACTAGGCGAAATAATAGCTAAATGCAAGGCAAGAACAGCAGGAAGACATCTCGAAGGTCGACATCTGCTATTTGGAGAATATTTGCGGAGCTGAACAACCCTAAACGTGCACTATCGAAGGCTGAACTTAACATCGATGGGGGAAGGTAAGCATGTTCTAGCTATGTTTTAAAAAAGGAATTATTTTGAATGAATAATAAAACGATTATTGAGTTCTGCTTTTGTATCATAGGAAGAATTATGGAGTTCTTGGAGGGTGTTATCCGCCTCGGCGGCCTCGACGGTAACACCTTCCTCGATCTCCATAATTCTTCATAGATACTCAGCCCCTTTCATTAATTGTTAATTAATTCGAATTTGATACGGCCGTTATGATCGACCACTTTGGTCCACATCCTATGACGATAGCGATTTTGGGGGCTCATGTGAAAATTCGCGGCGTCACTTTAGGTCATTAGAGGCAAGCAATCTCCACCATTTTTGGCATCGACCTTCGCAAACTATCTGGCTTTGATTTTCCGGAGGCTGGGTGGAGAGGGACACGTGGAAGTGGAAGAATATGGGAGAATTTGTAACGACCTTGTCGTTTTATTATGTATTAGTCGGGGGTGTCGCAGAACACGACGCTAAAACATATGGTAAGTTATCTTTATTAATTTGTATTACATTATGTCAACCTTTTGGGATCAAAAGTGCAAAATTCTTTACTTCAAGAAGCATTTCTACCGATCACTTATATCAAGCCAAGAGAGAATGATCTAAAGAGAGCGGATCTCCCATACATGACCCTATTTCCATGAAAATTATTTTCAATCTATTCTTGGTTCTGTGTCATCCTGCGTGGTTATTTTAAGGACGCCACCTTATTGGTCGGTTAGAGTAGCGTCATGTAATTTTAAACTTGGCGGGTAATTCATTTCACTGCCGATCACGCACAGAAAGCGATATGACGTGCAAACTTGGTATTACTTTTGCCGACGAGTCAAAAGATTTCTACGTGGAAAAATCTGGTCGGAGCGGTTGCCGAAGAGCAAAACGTTCCTGGCTTGTGGAAGTTCGCCGGAGAAAGCGGTTCCGAAAATTGCTAATTGAGGTCTTCGGTACATCAGTACATGAAAACATTGTACAAAAACGACAGCTGTCTCTTCAGGCGACATCCACGCACACCCGCGAGCTGTGATACCGTCGTTTGGATCCAACTGTGGACACGTATTACGAGAAAATAGGTTCAAAGTGGGTTCAAACATGAATGGTTGGCTGCCAAACATTTGAATTTTGAGAGGGCGCTAGACAAATGTGGGCACACCGCTCACTATAAAGAATTGACCGAAACCGGAAACCTCGCATAAAAAGTTTCTGGCATCCAGGTTAGCGATTGCCTAACAGCTTGAAGCATCTGACCTGATTTGTGTTCGCAGGGCGAAATATTTATCGCAAGTATTAGACGTCAAGAAGAAGTAATGCAGTTTGAAACTCTCAAGAATAATTCTTCAAAGCAAATGTACCGTTTCTGGAAAAAGAGAAAAAATATCTTGCACATTTGCATAAACAATTGAAGCCATCCACCAATTAAAGGTTTTATGTTTCGCGCGTGATAACCTTTGCCTTTGGCTTTGACGGTGTGTCAGAATTCAATATTTGTTACTTTAAATGGCTACCGGCCGTTAGAAAATCTCAATCTTTAATCTCAAAGTGAAATTTTGACTCCAAATTCCCAAATTATGAGCGGAACGCGCTGATCAAAAACATGTCAACAACAGGAGTCGATTGGTATCGGTTTGTGGCGCTAATTACAAAAACGGCTGTCAAACTTCAAATGTTTGGCGGCGAAACATGTCACGTTCACGTGAAAGTAGACCACGCGGGTCAAGGAAAAAAAAAACAAAAACAAAAATAACCTACGCAGTACGCGCGCAAACTTTAAATAGACTTAAAAAAATTATCATGGGGCACAGGGATTTGCTCTCTTAGCTCATTCTCTCTTGATCAAGCCGAGCGCGGGCGTTACGAAATACAGTAAATGTATGACATCACAAGTCGCGCGTGACGTCACAATCCCTGGAACTGTTTGGATGGTCCACCTGTGCTCTCAGCTGATGGACTATTAGTTAGGAACAACGCCACCGAACCAGAAGTGAACGTTTTGAACAAGCTGGATGATATTTCACAGTAAAACATGATAAAAATTATAAGCCCTTCTGGTGATTAATGGTCTTGGAACTGAGTCGTAGGACATACATTTTATTTTATAACTATTCAAAACAATAACATAGCTTGCAAAAAATGGAGCACAAAAACGATATTAAAAGGGAAAGAGAATCAATATTTGGGAGGAAAATCTAAATAAACGAAACTGAACCTGACGTAAATCTCTAACTTGAGTGAAGTAGGATCTCCTAATCATCAGCCACACAGCTATTGTAATAATTATTTTTGCTCAGTGTACCTGGCGACTTTTAGAGAGATTGCTCTCATCTCAATCGTATTTCCAGACCACTCTCTCTTGAGCTGCTTGCTATGTTTTCTAAACAATAATTCATTGGCATTTAATGTGGACCAATGTTGACACAGAATGATTAAATTGACAAAATAAAGGGGGAAAGTACCTTATTACATGAAGTTTTCGCGACACTTTAATTTCGCGAATTTCGCGATTTTTTTTTTTTAATCGCGAAATTAAAGTAACGCGAACAATGAGTGTCGCGAACATAACATGACGCGAAAATTAAGTGAATGACAATATATTAATAATAGCTAATAATGAAGAAAGGACGAATTTACACAAACGACCATGGAGATCATAGTCAGTTGGCTAAAATTGACGAACAGGCGTAAAATTCTTGTGGAAATTGTTAGAACTTTGTTGCTAACGTTCTCATGTAGACCCTTGACAGCTGCTCTTGTTATGAATTTTGACGTTATTATAAATGAAGTTGTTCTATTTGTTTCAAGGATAATACTTAATATCGCCAGATTAAAGGGATTCAAAGGACAACAATTTAAGAAATTTAAGTGTCGCAAAATGCGTGCATCGTAAAATCGCGAAATTAACGTGTCACGAAAATTTCACGTAATAAGGTAAATTCGATATAATCATATTTTCTTTTCTAAATTTGCGACGAAACGAATTAGTCTGATTGGGGGCGGGGTTGAAAAACGCATTCTACCTCGTTAATTTTAAAATCAAAGAAAACCAAGAAAACATTATGATATTGTCACTTTTATTCATAAGAATATGATTTTCGATATAGGCAGCCTTAAGTTGCCGCTTACGTTAAACACGATTTTTTTTTTTTTTTTTTGCAATAAGTTGCCAGAGGCCAGAGGCCAACATACGTTTAAAGGCCTTGTCTACAAATTTAAGCTAGCAAACCGTCGGACGTCTTCTGACGTCTTCATTTTGGTAACAAAAAGCTGTTCCACACTCGTACTCTGGCATATTCAGTTCATTATAAACATTCTTTAAGGCTATTTTCCAAAGTTAAGGCATACAACTAAGTGATTATGGAAACCTGGCTTGCGGGTATAGTAGGAGGTGACACTTTCTAACAGTCATTGTTATTACTGAGATTAAAATCGTGTTACAAACGTTTCTGTTGTTTCATTGAAATTACACTGAGGACTCTGTGGCCTTGGTACATATACCTCGTGGGAGTTTTGGACTCGTAACATCCGGGTAAATGCCAATCTGATTCTGCTACTTAAGGATATATACAGCCACGGGTTGATAGCGCTGTTTGCATGGGCCAACCAAAGTCCCAGATACATGGCAATTAATGGAGGCTGGAAATAAAATGTCTTTATTGCCCAGATTAGGTGTATTACTTGCGCGGGAAGCCAGGAAAGAGCAAATACCACAACGATGATTATAAGCATTCGGATTAGTTTCATTTTGCTGTCTTCTCTCTTGCGGCGCTGATGCTCTACAATCGACGAATTGCCAGGTACATAGTTGGACCATATTTTACGGGCAATTTTGATGTACAGTGGTGAAATAACTCCCAGTGGAATTAGATAGGTGACAACAAAAATGTACAGGAAAACGATACGAAAAGTTTGGGTCTGGTTTCCTAAAACGTTTGGGTGAAACTCGCAGAAAGAGAATTCATAATTTAACTTGTAGATGAAAGGCATAATAGCCATGGAAGCAGTAGAAGAGATCCAAATCATAGGTGAAACAATTTTGGCCTTTCTAAACCAGACATCACGAGCCATCAGGGGATAGAAAACTGCGTAGAATCTATCGATCGCCATGAATACTAGACAGAGGATAGAAGCCATTGAAGTGGTGTAAGAAATCAGTATGAAGCTCCTGCAAGTTAAGTCAGCAGGCAATCCAGATATCTTCCACTGACTGTTTGTGTGAAGATGAACAATGGAAAAAGGCATCATGAAAAACGCCACTAATAAATCAGCTACGGCCATGTTGACGAACATGGAGCTAGTTAGTGATCGTACTTCGGGTTTTCTCCACACGATGTAGATCAGGAGACAGTTTCCTACTACGGCAGAAAGCATCGCCACGCCGTACATTGCAGTTAATGTGGTCACTGCCGTCTTACCCGTTTCCATCTTGTGTAGTAGTGTCTGTCAAAAAAAGGGTGTTTTTTTTTTATTGGTTGATATAATTGGTCGATGAACTGGTGAGTGCAGCTGATGGGTTGATAGATTAATAAATGAACAAGCACAGAGTTAAGGTGGTTAAACACAGTTTGATTGGTTGCAGTGGGTTAGCGTTCATTTGGGGTGTTATATTTAAGTCTCGCTGCAAATCTCAAATTTACCACGGACAAAATACATTTATAAGCCACGACATTTGTTAAAAGCAAGATTTCGATTATTGGCATGGCAAGATGAATCATTTGAAACAAGCCTATAATTTTAAATGTATAATAGGCTTACACAAAGTTCGTTTGTTAGATTTCCTTATCAATTTGCACACAGCTACAATTATTAACCCTCATTAAAAACAAACCTAACCGAACTGTAACAAACAGTTTTTGTTTTTTGATTTTGATTTTGTTTGTTTCTTTTTTTTTTTTCGTAAGAAAACTGCTTTCATGAGAAATTTGACGCGCGGTGTCCCAAAATTAATTTTTGAGGCTAATCCATTGACAGAAGCGCGATATAAAGAGAATTTCTACTAAATCTTAATATAAAGTAGATTTTAGGTTATCGTCGTCGTTGGTTCACATTGTCTATGAACGTCAAACAAACAAGGGCACCCACATTGCCCCTTATACTACGCATGCTTACCTCTTGTACGCTTAGCCTGCGAGCAACCTCTCCGGGCTCTTAGTTTTAAACGTCGCGCTAAAGTCGAATTTAATTAGATCAATATATTTCGGCACGGCAGTAACACGACGTTTGAAACGGGCCTTACCGCTCTTATTTATCTTCACTAGTTTAGTGTGTCAGATATATTTTAGGGAATTTTTCTGTAGTCTAGATCTAAGTTTAAAAATAGAATTGGCAAATCGTCAAGTCTAATGTCTTCACGTCCCTAACGTGAATTTAAGCAGTTTCACGTCGCGGGGCGAGCAACGTTCGCAAAGAAATGTGCAAAAAAGTGTGATGTTCGTTCAAAAGTCTGTTATCTCAACCTAATACATTTTTGTCTCTCTTTTGACTCTAGTTGACTCTCTCTCGTTGCTTTCGTCATCGTTGCAGCTTAAACTTCCCCCGCTTCCGAACACTGCCTCAGTCTCTATGGAATACGGCCAAAAAAAATTATTGAAAAAAAGGAAACAATAACTTCAGGTATTGAAAAACTAACATTATCGGTTTACCAAAAGCGTAGTCTGTGTCCTTTCGCTATCAGAGTATGTAGAATGTCCAGCAACATTTGTCGGAATAATATGAATTGCACCTTAATATCTGGTCGTTAAATAATTCCTCTGAAAGGAAGTTATAAACTCTGTTGTTTATTCTTACTTGAACAGGAAGCCAGTCTCAGTAATCATCCTGTACGGCAAAATAAGTAATCTGTAAAGTTTACGACTACGGTAAATTAGCAATTTAATTGAAATCCATAATTGTAAAAGTTGCATTTTTTTTCTCCTAGATATTTATTCATTAACAAACGGAAACTGATTTCCCTCTATGAGTGATATATCACGCTGAAGGTAGATATGACTGCAATCAATTTCTGAGCTCAACGTTGTGCTCAACTCAGCTGGGTAAATTGCTTTATCAACGATTTTGGCGAGCCAAATGACTCTTGATTACGTTCTAGGCGACTCTGGGGATATTGTCGTCTCAAATCCCGGTCCCTGAAGCGATAAGTGGAGTATTTCCCTCAGTAATTTATCATTAATTGTCTAGAAAAACCAGAATCTATGATTGTTCACAGGGAGAGCAGAAGAGTTTACTGAAATGTTAATTTTAGGCGGCAATCAACTACGTCTTGCTCAAAGAAACAATTATTCTGTCCAAAATTGACAAATTTAAACAATAAGGGTAAAAGCCATTTATGTTCGTTTGGTTTTTGATGTACAAGCTGAGCGCCAATCAGGCAATCACGATAAGAATAAGATAGAAAAGTTCTCAGCCTAAAACTCGAGCAAGTTTACCTTATTACAGCTGCGAGATCGAAGTTTCGCTACAGTCTTAAAATGAAATAATTTGACCCCAAAAGAAACAGAACTTCAAAACAGTCATTACTCTACGCAAAGATGACAAGATTTTGATTTTTCAAGCCATTTTGAAAACCCCTTCGGGGACCGCTTTAAAGGCGGCAAACTGTTGTAGCTAATTTTAATCATAATAAAAATGCCCCTGGTACCCCATTTTTTAACTATTTAACATCCTAGTGCTAAAATATAGATCTTAAAGATTTAGCATGTGAAGTTTCAAGGTCTAACTCACAACTCTTCCTTTGATACACGTCGGATAGCTTGGTAATGTTAGCGAGCAAGATAACGCACGATTGTCAAATTAACAATTTAATAGATATCAGTTGTCGATAGAATTCCTAAATTAATTCTAATGTGAATGATTTTTTATTGAAATGAAAAAAAAGTCTAACAATTTACCAGGGAAAGGTATTCAGTACTTTTGAAACCTACTGAAAGTGAGAATTGTCGAATTTGTAAAGTCAGAATTAGCAGCTACAAACCTGCTGGCATGATAAAAAAAGCATCAGCGCCCTAGTTGTCATATACGGGTTTTTTGCGAAGTCTTTCTTTCAAAAAGCCCGCAACTCGATCAAAAGAAGTTTTCCATACGCTCTGTCTTTTAGAATTCAAAGGAAGTTTTGAAATTGCTGAAAAGCAACAATTACATCGGTTTCGGATGTAAATAGTTTCAAAATGATCAAACAATGCCATCCGGAATGCGAACAATTAAAGACAAGGCGATGTTTGCATGTGCTAATTACCACTCACAGCAACAAGCAACAAATACCTGAAATACGCAACTCAAAGGTTATGTTCACCTTATATCATCTCAATGTTATTTTCCACCATTGCCAACTGATCCCAAATTTCTGTCAAATACGGGTTTTTTGCGAAGTCTTTCTTTCAAAAAGCCCGTAACTCGATCAAAAGAAGTTTTTCTATACACTCTGTCTTTTAGAATTCACTGGACGTTTTAAGTTTGCTGAAAAGCAACAATTACATCGTTTTCGAATGTAAATAGTTTCAAAATGATCAAACAATTTGCAGGGGCGTCGCGACCATACACCTATTTCAATTAAGGTTGCTTCGGCGAAGAATGATTCATGATGCATGATCCATGTTTCATAGCCCGCAGTGCATTGTGGTAGATCTCTTTGTAGGCGGGAAGTTTAACTTCGGGTATTCCTGTGCGCAGTAACCCGCGAAATGGAGACAATAAACATCTGTCTCAAAATCCTAACGGAAAATAAGAAATCGGTGAAAGAAAGTTTCCAGTTAAAACAAATTCCAAAATTTGCAGGTGCCGTTGAGCTAAAGAATTATATTTTAAGCCAGAAAGTCAAAGCTGCCAACGTCGAAAGCATGGAAATAGGCTACTACGGCCCTCAGAGAGGTACTCGCTTTGCCATTATTGATGAAACTACCTTGGCTGAGGCGTATTCCACCGAAAAGCAAGAGTGGGTAGTGATATGGGTATGGACCCCACCAGATGGAGTGGCCAACAAACGTCAAAGTCAAAGTTCAACGGCAGTGGCCAGCAGCAATGCTAAAAGATTGCGCCTATCAAGTAGGTGTTAAGAACCTATTTTCCTTTAAACTCCGTTTGCATTGCTAGTTTTTGTTCGTTGGTTTTCCGTTTATCTGGATACCTTTTAAATTTTAAGGTGAACAGCACGATGGGGAGGACGACTTTTCAGACATCTACAAGAGATTGGTGGAAAAACATGGCCCGGAATTGCCCGATTTTAAGCTCCGAGTGTGGGCCAGGATGCTGGTAAGTCCAATGAAACAAACCAATTACCTTCTGATGTCAACCTTTCAGCTCTAAAAATACTAAATAAACTCGTAATGTAAAGTTGTTTATTATTGTACGACTTGTACACAAGCCTAATAAATGCAGATGGAAGGAAGGGCGGCGACAAGGGCTGCCAAAATGTTGCATAAAAAGTGGATTCGCGCTCTGACTATTAATCTTCATCGCGATTATTCCAATTCTCTTACTTCGGTAAAAGTAGGCGAACTGTTCTTAGAGTTAAACTCCTAAGAACCTTATTCAAGTTAAGAAAGAGAAAGAACATTTTGCCGTCGCTTGCTTACGTACTCTACAAAACGTTAAATTTAGCATTTTGACCTCGTAGTCGTGCAGTGAAGGCAAAGAAATGTACAAAAAAACGTGATGCACGTGCAGAGTTGTTATTTTGCTAATCACTGAACCTATTGTTTTGTTTTACATTCTTGTTGCAGCGTTGTTATTTTGCTAATCACTGCACCTATTGTTTTGTTTTATCTTCTTGTTACCTGATGTGCGAGAAAAAGAAGATTCGTTGAAAATTT